GCCTCCATACACTTGAACAACTAGTACAACTAATAGAACTCTAAGGATCAAAAACAAAGAAGAAATTATTATTAATGATATTGAAAACCAAATACAAAATTGGAACATACCTAAAGTCCCAATATCAGATGTTTACAACAAAGGCACATTCGATTTAAAAATCGGATATGCTATTAAAACAGTAGAAGAAACTTTATCTGTTACAAATAATCAAGAAGACTTTCAATTACTATCTCAGAAGATATTACAAGTCCATAAAACAAAAAACTATAAATATTTACATATAGGATTAATTCAAATAGCTGTAAAACCCTTAACTCGTTTAGGACTAAATAATTCTATCTTAGTACGTGATACTAGGTATAATAGATTTTCTGATTCACTACTAGGTATGGTTGAATCCAGTTTATGTAGTGGACCTATATATTTCAACTGTTTTCCAAATTATTCTGTATCTCTTACAGATCCAAATATTCTAAATGTTTTATCTTTAAATCTTAAAACTCAAGGATTTAATATGATGACAGGTTCTCAAAATATAGCCATTGTTTATCGAATCTATTACAAAGTAATGACTACATTATGTCCAAATGTACTCCAAATAGATACGAGAGGACAAACAATATTTTTTCAAACCAATATGGAAAAATCAAATACAATTGTACCAAAAACAATATCATGGTCAGATATTGCTCTACCCCAAACATGGTCTATCCATAATGAAAACCAACCATCACAAAATCCCACTCAAAATATTCCAGACAAAATTATTGAATATACAGACGGAAATATTGAAATACAGTTCACCACAAATAATAGAATTATGGATAATGCATCCATCTCAGGTACTTCAAGTACTCATTCTTTTCGAGAACCAGAACCTCCAAGAAAATCCATTACTACTTATAATCGAATTCCTCCTATCATAAATATTCCATCAACACCAAAACCACAAATTGATGGACTCCTACGAACGTCTGATAATATCATTATTCCCCAATACAGAGAAGCTCAAGAAGAGCCTGCTGAAGCAGAGTTCATTCAAGTATTACAACTTGAAGAAACATTTGATAAAGAATACATCATAAAAGATTTTTTATCTCCAGAAAATAAAAACATTAGAGAATGGTATGTAAAAGAGTTTGAACCTAGATTAGTAGAATTGTTTCACAAACGATTTAACAAATGGAGAAAAAAGGGAAATAAAGGAACATGTTTTTTCGATTGGCTAAGAGACACCTTAAGCCAACATAATATCCCTATTCCTGATTTTGAAATAAATACACTAGAAAACTTATTACATCCTCCCATTTATAAGGAGAAAAAACAGTTATTTTTTAAACCTCCTCCTGACTTGAATAAAGAAAAATTTCTTATAGGAGATTATAATAAAACACTAATGGATCAATTAATCTCCAAATTATCCAAATTAGAAATAAAAGATCCCAAACAAACAATTGTTTTACCAGACAATGATAAAGGAAAAGCAAAAATCCCTGAACATGATAATATGACTCTACAAGAAGAAATACTTTTCCAAATCAATGAAACCATGGAACCACCAATTGCCAACACAATAAAAAATATGCAAACAGCGTTTTCTGAAATTCAAATTACTCCAGATACTATAAATCGAATCAATTACAGTAAAAATTGGCAACCAATAAATGCCCGACCATATTATAAAAGACCAACCCCAGTTGATATCCAATTAGAAGAAGACCTAACAAGTCATACTTCTACATATACAGGTCGAACGATTATAGATTGGAATATTGATGGAATCTCTGATCATCGAATATTAGATACAATGAAACACCTGACTATGTATGCTTCGGCATGTAAAATGGCTGGTAGCCATGACCAAGAAATAGCAAAAGCAATAGTGTCAGGATTCACTGGATGGTTAAGAGGATGGTGGGATTCCTATCTCAATGAACAAACAAAACAACAAATATTAACTAATACTCGACAATGGACAGCAAAAAATGAACACAACCAGGATATGGTATATTTTGAAAGTGATGCTGTCAATACATTAATCTATACAATTGCCCTCTATTTTATAGGGAATACTTCAATACTTGCAGCACGAACTGCTGATCTTTTATCCAATCTACGATGTCCTACACTATCACACTATAAATGGTATAAAGACGTCTTTTTCTCTCGATTACTCATACGCGAAGATAGTCATCTTGACCACTGGAAAGAAAAATTCGTAGCAGGATTGCCCTATCTATTTGCTGAAAAGGTTAAAGAACGTCTAAAAAATAAAAATAGAGGTGTAATTAATTACTCTCAATATACTTTAGGAGAATTATCTTCAGAAATCTGTGCTGAAGGCTTCGCCCTATGTACAGATCTGAAACTCAAAAAGCAACTTGATAAACAAAATTTAAGTGGTAAAAAAGAATTAGGAGATTTCTGCCAACAATTTGGCTATCATATGGATCAAACTCATATAGATAAAACTAAACCACATAAAATACATAAAGTATATAAAAAGAAAAAACATCGTAATAAACCCGAAAAAACATATAAGTCTTTTCCAACCAAACAGAAAAAATATAGAAAATTTACGAAAAGTTTCGCTTCCAAATCATCCCAACAAAATAAAACGAAATTACCTGTTTGTTATAAATGTGGCAAAGTCGGCCATTATAAAAGTCAATGCAAGGTCAAACAAAAACTAGACTCCATTACATTAGATGAGTCTATCAGAAATAAAATTTATGATATTATTCAAATATATGATTCGTTTGATAGTTCCGATACAGACACTACTTCCTCAAGTAGTGATACTTCTTTTATAGGAACAATACATGATGATTTTTATTGGTCAGATATTAGTTCGAATACAGAAGACGAAATATGCCAATGTCCTATTACAACTTCAGATATTCATACATTAACAAAAGAAGACAATCTTATTTTAGATTTAATAGAAAAAATATCTGATCCTGATGAAAAAAGAGAAATAATTACTCAGTTTATCAATTTAACTAAAACAAAAACAAAACATATGCCCTTAGTTAAACCTCCTGATAATTATAATTTTTCTGATATCATGAAACGTATCAGCCAGCATGAAGCCACCTAAAAAGAACCTACTATTGCTGAACTCAAAGCCGAAGTCAATATAGTTAAGGTAGAATTATCCCAATTAAAAAATAGAATTCAAATCCTTGAACTTCATGACAATACCTCCGAAATAGATACTGAGACAGATGTCATAGAATTTAGCCATTTACTCAAATCATATCATCCCAATGATTATCTAACGAAATGCGAATCATCCACCCGACAATCAGTAAATGTTTTAAACCGAGTAATCACACAAAAATGGTTTGTGCTAATAACCATTGTCATAAATGATGAATATGAATTCCAATCTCTAGCTTTGGTAGATTCAGGTGCTGATCTGAATTGCCTCAATGAAAGATTAGTCCCTACAAAATACTTTGATAAAGCAACCCAAATCCTTAATACTGCAGATGGCAGTAGACTATTCATAAAATACAAGTTATCTAATGACAAAATTTGTACTGAAGGACATTGTTTTCCTACTCCATTTATTATGGTCAAAGGACTCAGCCAAGCTGTAATCCTTGGCGTACCTTTCCTCACTCTATTATATCCAGTTACTATTTCCCATACAGGTATTGAAACAAATCCTCATGGTACCCCTATAAAATTTGAATTTCTTGATAAACCCAAAATTAAAAAACTCAATACTGTCAAACAAAATATCAAACAAAAAGAAAATTTTATAGGATCATTACAACTTGAAATCAAACATAAGATTATCAG